GTTCGCTTACTTCCCTCCTGGCGTAGCCGTTCTGCGCGGAGCGATTCATCAGGCTTAGTGAGGACATTGCTAAGGATCGACTGTGCCAGCTTAGCTGGCGTGATTTTTCCGGAGAATGACCCCCAGATTATCAGTCTGTTTTCTCTTAGGCGCCTGTCCACTAGAGACGCTGTGGCGGTTTTTATAGCCGCGTCAGAAAGCTGTATGACTTTCTTGGCAGCCATGGGGCCTGGTATGGATATCGCGAGGTATTGGTTCAACGAAGGAAGTTCCTTGTCAACTTTCGTCCAGGTCGCTGCATTTTTAGCGCCTGAGTCCTCCAGTACCTTTGAGAGACGCTCAATTTTCGCGTCGAGTATCCCGATTAAAGCGGAACACTGACAGTGGTCTTTCTGAATCTGCACTGGGGATTGGGTACCGTTTTGAGGACTCTCCTAAAATTCTTTCACGAATTTGCACGAGGAAACTCCGTTAATCTAGATCCTGATATCAGTGCGGAGGATTCCCTAAATTTATTATGCATACTTACCCACTGTACCTATTGCGCTTCTCCTCATCGATGCACTGGTTTTTATTTAACCAGCGGTTCTTTGCTTCGTGTTTAAGTGCACCGCGTGGCCTTGATCGCAGCGATGGCGGGTGATGGTGCGGCTGAGATAGATCTTTATGACAACATAGATGAAGATTTTGTACAGGTTTGTTCGAACAATTCCTCTATGTATCCCAAAGGAGTGTGCAGATTTGAACGAACTTTATGATGACGTTATGGCCCCAGGGGCTCAGAACAACATGGCCTCGAAACCTGAGTTACCGGTGGTGGGTTTTCCCGTCCGAAGTATAATTTGGGCTTTTTAGGTGACGAAATCTGCCTTAACGACAGTCGCTTCGCATAGTGGAAAACGAGTGGAAACATATGTAGGGAACCTTACTTGGGTAATGCATTTTCTGACGACTTATATCCTGGTGTAGTGGACGACAGATCAGGACCTGCTTGAAACCACCAACGCCCTGGGTATAAACGATGTTGTGGAAATCAAATTTCATGAGAACAGACAGAACGGACAATCTAAGGGGTATGTTACAGGCCGTAACTAGTGAATTGTGTAGCTTCTGCGTGATGGTGTTCGGCTCTGACCAATCTGCAAGAACTGCGATGGAAAAGCTCCCGAAGACAGAGATTCATGGACAAAATCCTGTAGTTACTCACTGCACGAAGCATAACCTCAGCATATTTGAAAAAGCGGCTGGTGGTGATGGTCAGCCGACGACTCGCCCTCGCTCCGATGAGTCATACAGTGGAAAGCTGACCGGACTTTCAAGTAACACCGTTATTAGCTCCTCAACTTCCCTTTCAGGTAGTTCAAGTGGGACAACCTCCACGAAGTTACCTCCTCCCCTCATGTCCACCCCAACAATGCCGGCCTCACTTGGCTTTAGTCTTCGGAGCAACACATCTCTAATGGGCCAAGCTGCTCCCAGCCTTCGCCAGGTGGCCAATGCACTGCCGAATGCATTTCAAGCTTTAGCACAAACTGTACAATCAGGGTTGCCTGGAGGTGGTCACTTGGGGCAGCTGACATTGAATCTTCCGACAGCAACAAGTGTTCTAATGACACCATCTGTACCACCGCCTCCTCTTCCTGGGAATGCATCCAGTCTTTTCCCTGCGGCATTCAGCCTTGCTAGTGCGATTCCAAACAACCTTACGAGCGGAGCTGCGCATATCAACCCTAATTTTCTTCACCAGCCCGCTTCGTTGCCAAGCGGTACACTCCCGTCCCCGGTCCCTGCCCCGGCAGCTCTGATGCAACTGGGGAACGCAAGTGCGCAACAGTCCGTTAGGCCACAGTTTGACAACTATGGCAGACCCGTTATACACACATATACCCCTTGTAAGTCTTTCGTCTTACCATTTATTATGTCATGCTTTTGGTCGGACCAGTTTATGTTATAAGTTCCACTTCGTCTAGAGGCAGTTAGACAGGGTATCCGCCTTTCTAAGCTGGCCTGGCCACGTGCTCTGCATACCGACGTCCTCGGAAAGTCCTTTACGGACATCTATGCGAAGGGATGAAACGAGTCAGGTGTGGTCAACGATGGCTGATAGCCGTCATGCCATCTTTCGCAAGCGGTCATGCTTCAGAAAATGAAGCCTCTCAACATACCCTTACACTTCAAGGAGAACATTGAATACCTTGGTACTGTATCAGCTGTGACGAAAGTGTTTGATGGATTCTGACCGAATCACGCTTGCCAATTTACGTCACTTATGGAGTGAAAATGACGTCACTGGATCTCAAGTGTCGAGTGTACCAGGCTACAGTAAGGGCTACATTGTTGTATGGTTGCGAAACATAGCCTCAGTGAACAGATGATGTGAGGAGTCTTTAGGGTTTTGCCAGGAAGGTCAGATTCCTGAAAGCAACCACTAAATGCCCGAAACCTACTGAGACCCTCAGCTCCGCTAGATGCTGACCAGACAGGCAAACGCCCCCTCAGTATGCAGTGCGTCACAGCATTGTATCAAACCCAGACCACGCAAGTCAGCGTTGGCTTAATGGAGCTTTTGTGTCAAAAACGGAACGTTGCTCAGCAATGAATCCACCGATTGTTCATCAAGTCTGTGAAATAATTTGTGGGTGTACGGCAGTGAAGCGGCACTATCAACACTGATGTTGTCTGCGATGGTAATGAAACAGACTTGGCAGCGTATTTCCCGGGAGCTCAGCTACGCTGATCATTTCTGTCTTCCACGATGGAGACCTCTTGTTGGGACACATCAGGGGTAAGAGACGTCGGAAATGGTTTAGTCGCGCACTCGGTGGCACGCATGCATCAAAACGGTTTCCTTCAATGCATTGCTTTTCCTCCCGATCTCTCTCGAGAAAGGTCCACTAACACCTCCGTGGTGCCGTCGGCCGGGTCGCCTTACTTGCTGCATACAGCAGGGCGGGTAAGCGAAAACAGTCAACTGCCGACGCCTCCCTTCTTTCAGTTCATATACTTTTTCTTCCCCCTCTCCCCACCCCATTAATAACTCTCTCCTTGTAGGCCCAGCACTTAGGACTGATGACTCCGTTGGTCATGCATCGGTTTTGCGTGCAGTGTCTGCTCATCACGTGGTGCCGACATCTTCAGGAATCTCCA